CTGTTGTCCATGCTTCATCCTTAAAGAATAAGACCAGATAGCTTGAAATGTCACAGCTGCTGCTGTGCCAAAGCAACAAAACCACTCTCCCCAGAAGCCCCACAAGCAAATGGGCTGAGGGACCATCGCCTCTGCCAGTTCTCGAGCCAAAAGGCTCACCCAGGGCAGCCTCTCCTTTCCCTTCTCAGCACTTGCTATGCACCCCACCATGCTAGATGGTGCAGAAATCCTGTGCGCAGGCAAGCAGGCCCCCTGCACTGCTGGGAGGTGCTCTCTGTCCCTCGAGCCTCACGCCTGGGTCTCCCAAAAACACGAATCAAGCCTTCCTCCGTCTGCCCCTTAGCCAAGATCTGTATCGTGCAGAGGACCGGAATCATGCTGGATTGCTTGCCCTCCGTCGGCAGGGACCCCACGGGGAAGGGGAGGGGTGCCCTCCACAGCACCCAGCAGAGCAGGCAGGGCACTCTCCGGGGAGGCGAGGGGCTCTAGAGAGGGCTTTGAAGCTGGGCCCTTCCCTGCTGGGTGAGGACACTGCAAACAGGCTGTTGCGTATTAAGAAGTGGGGTTACGTCACGTCCGGCTGTTGCTTTTGAGAAGCAGCAACTTAAGTTCTTTATTTATCTAATCTTCAACTGTTTTCAACTCTGCCAAGGGCCAAAGCAAGATGCACGCACAATTTCAATTCCTAAAGTGAATATACTCCAAAGGATTTTCTTCAGCTTAGACCAAGCACTGAAAGCCTCACCTTGCTGAAAGTAATGAGGTTTTACCACAAAGTTTAGCACTGCTGAGATTGCAGACATATAAAATCCCTCTCAGTGTGTTTATGGGCAGTTTGAGGTGTGCTGTGAATCTCGCTTTGGCCAGCCTCCAAGCAAAGAAGCAGCACTGAGCTGCGTTTGGTGCATATCAGAGGTGGGCAAGTAATACCGAGCCAAGAGCCCGGGCGGTTTGAGAACAGCGTTACTTTCCTTCGCAGTGGGAATTACCCAGGGCGCCCGTACAAGACGGGAGCAGCGTGCAGCGACTGCAACGGCGAGCAGTGCGCCAGCCAGCTGTGTCGTAAGTAGAAGACAACCAGCCCTCCTCCCCAAGCACACGTAGAAAGGGAAAGAACGCACAAAAGATAATGGCAGGAGGCAGGCACAGCACTCCCCTGTTCCTAAATACAGTCTGAAAAGCTGCAGTCAGAAGCCAAGTGAGCAGTGATGCACGAAGAGACGGGAGGAGGGTGGAAAGAGCCTGTTTTCTACCCTGGGAAGTGACGGGATGGGATCTGCTCTTCACGTGCTGGAGGGTATGATGCAGGAGACGTAGTGGCTGCAGTTTAAGGTGTTATTACCCCCACCAGAAGTTACTGCTTGCAGAAACGGGAAGCACAGAAGGGGATACACATCCCCTCCCGGGGGCTCCAGGTTATTACCTGGTGCATGAGCTGCAGCTTGAGCTGGTGCAGATCCAAGCGAGCCTTGCCCCTGCCGTGCCGCTGCCGGGGGGGAGCGCTGCCATGGCACTGCCAAAGCTGCTCGCTCCACTGAACATCAGACAGGCCATCTGCTTTCCCCCAAGCACGGGGAGGGAGCCAGGCCAAAATGCACCTGTGCAGGTGTGAGAGCCCTTCACAGGGACGTGGTGCTCAGCTTGAGCCCCTGACAGCCCACCCGATTCACCTGCCCTTGGCTTTGCGATGGCCGGATGGAGTCAGGTGGAGAGGAGACCTTCTGCAATTACCTTAAGAAGGACAAGGTGCTGTGGACATCTGCCTGGGGGGACCTGAGGGTACGGTCACACTTTTCCCCAGCACTCAACCCCAGCGAACTAACAGAGCGGGAAGGTGACATTAAAACACCAGCACCGCAGGAAGGAGAGGGAGTCTCTGACTCACGGGACTGTTTAACGTTAGTTACAGGCTGAGGATTTTAAACGCAAGGCACTGGGCAAAACCCAAAGTGATCTTGTGAAGTGCACCTGGGGGAACAAGTCCGCTCTATGCCAGTCACTGGCAGGGGGAGAAGTCAATGTGGTGTGATCAAGTGTTTCTCAGCAAAGCCCTGAGAGTGGCTGCAAACTTGGAGGGTCTTTGCTTCTTCTTGGAAGGAAAGGCAGCTCCCATAGCTGCATTTGCGAGCCCATCGTGAGGCTCACACTTCATTCCCTTTTGCTTAGACTCAAATTGTTTATGTGTAAGTCTGCTGACGTTCACTTCTTTTATCTCTCCAGAAAATGCAGAGCGTGACAAAGTCATTAGTAAGTACCACCAGAATTTACTGCTTCCGTTTGTTGCCCTCAGTGCAGTGATACTTGAAAACAAGTAACTTATTTTGTTCATAGGTGATTCCAGGTGGCATCCAGACTGGGACAGACCTGCATGTGACGAGTACTGCATCACCGTTATTGCTTTAAGGCCGTTACTGCTTGTACTGACAATTCTGGCCGCCTGGCTCCTACCAAAATACCGGTCTATAGCACCCGCCAGTGAGTGACACACATGCAGAAGACCATGAGAGCACTTAGGTCAACTCATCCCTTCCCTGCACATAAGTTACTGGCAGCACAAAGATCAGTAGAGACATTGTTTGCATCTACAGGTGATTTAGAAGTACAGAAATACCATCTTTGCTGCAGGCAGCAGCTAGGAGAGCTGGTAAGCAGCTTTCTCATTGCTCAGAACCAGTAACTGGTTTTAAATTACCCATGTATTTTTTCAAAGCGGAGCGGTGTGAGCGGGATCCGGTGGGTAAGGGAGCCCAGGCAGCGCACCGAGGCGCAGGGAGCTGCCCGCCACACTTTCTTAGGAAGGGCTGGAGGGTGCCCAGCCCCGGAGCCTGGCCCCAGGCAGAGCACGCACCTCTCTCGTTCCTACTGCGCTCTTTCCTTGGACACTCCTCCAGCAAGATGCAGAGCAGCCTGGAGAGATTTTTCATTTAACTGTTTTTCTAATAATTTTTGGACCCATGTGAGCTCTGGCATTTGCATCCTGGGGCACGAAGTGCATTTCGGAGTCTCACAGTGCACTGGGGCCACTGGTACTTCTCTTTGCTTAGAATTTGTTTTTAAACACGTGTTGTCTGTGCCAAGACATAGTTTCACCTGTGTTTACACGTGATTATGTATCACCGCAATCTTTCCTGTTCTTTTTTTTTCTTTTTTCTGAGCATAGGGGGTTTGACTGCTATTTCAAACAATAAATAATTATTTCCTGCTTCCCATGTATGGCAATCGTGTATTTGCAACATGATCTAGAGCTTAACTGCTGGTGCACAAAAAACCCCCACATTCAGCTCCAACTTGCACAATGCTGAGAAACACAATGCTGGGAAAGATGGCATAAAACTCCAAATAAAATCATGCTGTGCCCGTAGTTACGGCTTTGGTTCAACAGCTGCCAAGGGATGAGTCTCCTGGAACCCGCACATCTGGAGCAGGCAGAAAGTAGCGGGGACAGCTGCTGTGTTCAGCTGAGCACGTCCTCTAGCGACCGCAGTCGCTCAGCTCAAGCGGAGGCTGGAAGGAGCAGAGCTGCACAAGCACACAGCTGGACTGTAGCGATCCGTATCTATTCGGAGGCGGGTTTGGGTGCCTCTGCACCAGGCCCCTCTGCAGGGCACAGACACACACTGTTAGAGCAGCTGGGAAGTTCCCCTCACCACTTAGTTTCTGTGGTCCTGTCCCTGCAGTACCTGTCAGTGTTTCTGCATACCCACTCCTGACCCCACTGCTGCGGTGGTTCTTAACTGAAAACACTGGGACTGGGACTCAAAGTTTCTCACGTTACTCTTCCAGGTAGTTAACTGCTTGAACTAGAATCATCTCAGCATCACAGCATTCCCTGAATAAATCATTTTTCAAAATGCAAATATGGCTGGGGACAAAAGTCTGAATTTTGCCCTTGATACGTACCAGAGCCTCCATAGCCAAGACATCACACTCGCACACAGGAGATGAGCAGTTTCTTTTCCACACTCCAGTGACCTGGGTCCCAGCACCCACGCTGGCCTACTTGTGAGAGAGCCAGGCTCAGTTCTGTCTTCCAAACTCCCCACTGCAAAAGCAAGGCCATGGGTCTACCTGTTAAAAAGAGCAGCTATTTTCCTCCTCACTCGTCTTTTTGCCACTCTCTTTTGTGCAGGACCCCAGCCTCAAGCTTCAGGTACTGCAACGTCCCATCTGAAAACGTGGGCAGCAGGACTTACTCTGTGTACGCTGTCTTGCACAGGGCTCCCACACCAGCACGGTGCCTGGCACAGTGTCTGCCCCACTGAAGCCACGTGCAGTTAGATCCTACAACTGCAGAGACATGCAGGAGAGGGAAGAGCATATGCTGCTGTGTCCAGGGTGCAAAAAT